TATTTAATAATTTTAAAAATAATGATATAACTGTTATTAGATTGATAACTTATAATATTCCTAGTGTAGGAACTTACACGTGTACCTTTTTTTACCGTGTAGGAACTTACACATGTACCTGTTTTTCGTCGTGTAGRAACTAWCATAGGTACCTGTCTTCCGCCGTGTAGGAACTAACATACGTACCTTTATTTTTTCGTGTAGGAACTTACGCATCACATAATATGTAGGAATTAACGTATGTAATTGTCTACCTGTTACTCTCATGTAGGAATTTACGATTCCCCAAGATGATGTCTCATTACTATATGCAGATAACTTATAACTGTATTTTTTATTATTAACATTTTTAACCTAACAAAAAATATTTAAATAACTATAATTAATACCATAATATTTAAAAACAAAAATTAATTTTTCTATTTTTATTAATTCCTATTTTTTTAATTTTAATTTTTTTTTATTTATTCATTTCAAGTAAGCCAAAAAAAAAACATTTTTGGAGGACAGTGATAGTCGCCTCCTCGTGGTGTCCTCTGGGTAATGCTAAATGACTATCATAAAAATAATACTTTACACAAAAATGTATACCTGAAAAATACCGGGCGCAATTTACAACTATTTTCTTTCGTTGGGCGCAATTTACGTTTGCTCCCGTTTTGGGGACGCAAGTCGGTTATATAATTATTATCGATATTTAATACTAAAATCACTTAAGTCGATAGTATTATTGTGTCACTTAAGTCGATAGTATTATTGTGTCACTAAAATCGATAGTTCATAAAACAATATAATAAATCTCACTACTTGAATTGAATATATGAATTATGCCAAAATGTAAAAAATAAGAATTGCAAAATTAAAATGTGTTTTTTATTAACTTATTGATATCGATTATATCGATATTTTCTGGACGTAATTAGGTTATAAAAAAGGTATTACGGGACGCAAATAGGCTATGACTCTTTTTTAATCTTTTTTGCGGGACGCAACTAACCTACTGATAATATTTTCGGACGCAAGTAGTATACTCCCCTTCATTAAATGCCAACGATATTACGAAATAAAGCACTGACAATAACTTTCAGTAACTCTACTTGAAATCYTTGCAACTTCAACAAAATTACAGTAAATACACTCATCAAATATATTAATTAAACTAATCACCACCAACTATTTAAATGTTAGTTCAAGTACTACAGATATTATAACTGTATCGAATAATACTACGACCTCATCGTTAATTCCTACAAATATTTAAAAAWAAATTAAAGATGTTATATGACAGTAAAATAAAACCTATCAAATAAAGCTATGTGCGAAGTTATTAAATCTGAACAAAATGTATTTTACGTGTATCTGCTTTAAAATATTTGAATTAAACAGTAATATGTGTGTATTTTAAATGTGTTCTATTTTTGCGTTTATTACATTTTCATTTTATTCATTTTGATATTTGTGAGCCCTATTGAAATCTCCTTTTATAGCGTATCACCAATCAAGTGTTAAATCGTAATAATTAAAAAATAACATATTTTTTAAGTTTTTGATAATTTTCATTTAAAATTGCATAAAAAAAACTATTGCATACAATTTGTACGCTAAAAATAACTTGTAAGCTTAATTATATTGAAGATCATGCATAAAAATTTGGTATATAAGTAATAATAATATTATTTCTTTCTGAGTTAATCGAAGAACTTCTGAAAATTCTGTTCTAAACAATTACGCATTTACAAGCTATTATTATTTGTTACTTAAAGTTCCTAGGTTCTGTTAATTGCATATTATTACATTGAACGTGGATAGTGTATATATGGTAAATTAATAAAATTCTATACCCATACAGGAGGTTTTTATGGTTTACCAAATGGTTACCCGTGTGTATTATAATGAAACACTACTTTGCAGTGCTACAATACTATCTGTTAAATGAAACACTTGATTTTTATAATATAACTTTGATCCTAACTTACATTATATTATTTTGATATAAAATTTAACAACATTTATTTCGTTATGAGAATTTATTTTTGATAAACTATAATATTATATCTAAGTTATATTCAAAAAAAAATATTGTTTACTTTATTATAATAATAAAGAAAAAACTAAAATCGTKTACTAAAAACAATATTAGTACATTAATATATTAAATTTAACTATTTAAAAAAAAAAATTTTAATTAAAAACTAGTAATTACTTAAGGTAGGAACCTAACTTAAGTAGGTTGCCTTGCAAATAAGTATCGTATAAGAAAGAAGTATATCTTCGTGAAATGTACAATTCTAAATGAAATACTTGAAAGCTAAAAGAAACAAAATTCATGATTATTGAAAACCTGAAATTCCACTCATGTTAATTGAATTAGGTTCGTCGAGTTAGAATATTTATATGATATCATAAAAACCAAGTCAATTTATTGTAAAATATTGCATCAATTAAATTATACAGATATAGGTTAAGTCATGCGTGTACATTTTGAATATAGGTACGCATTTTAAAACCTAATGGAAGACAATAGTATAATATGTAAAATATGTTATAATTATTTAAGGCTTAATTTTCTAATGAATTACCTATGAATAGATATAGATTACAGTGCTTATAATAGGTACATTTGATCGTAATACCTATACAGTGTAATATGTGTAAAGAAAAAAATTGGCATTATATTATATGGATCCATTATACTTAGAGAGACTTATTTTCTCGTCCCATGTACATCAAAGTGTTTTTCGACAACATCTATAATATTCATTAGCCAAGTTATTAATGATAAATGGTAATACATATTACATTTATTCGGTTTTGTACAAGAAGTTGTTCAATCAGTATAATTATTATTTGTTACACAATATAAACATTAGAGTTATGATATTGTTTACTAAGATCTGCATGTGATATATTTAGACATACAACAAAAAGTAAAATGTACTACAACTACAATGAATATAATACGTACCAACGGACTAAGTTATAAAATCAAACGATTAAAAATTATTGGACATAATAATATTACGCAACTGCGATGGAACAATTTCGCGATGTTTTCGGGCGGAATAAAGTGGCGGCGGCGTCGGCGAGAGTCGGAATCGTCGGGATTTGAACGGCGCAGAGGCGACGGTGTGGCGGGAAAAATATAATTTTTTTTTTTATTTTCAAAAAAAAAATTCTATGACAAGTAATCTCGGTTGTTTCGGTGGGTGGTGGTCGGTCCGGTTGGGGAGAGGGCGGTCACTCACGTGCGTTCTAAGCGTGTTCGCGCGCCGGTCGGTAGCGAGCGAGTGATGGACCGCGGGTGCCGACAACTGCCGTTATACTGTTGCGGAGCGTACACGCACTATCGGAATGATGGTATATACGCGATGTACGTGTAAACGCGGAGACGGCGGCGAGATAAACCTATGCAGCGCAGCGGTTTCGACGGTTCCGGGCTGCGCTCGTGGGCATCGTATACCTTTTTACGTGTGCTGGTGCGCGCGAGCGTATACGCAGAGTTCAACACCGTATACTGTGTGACGCGCCACCATGGCCACTGGGTTCGTGGCCATCGGCGGCAGTGGCTAGCAGTAGGTGCGCAGGGAGAGAAGGATGTGTCACGGCGGCGGCCACGACGCGCGCGCAATTATTGTAGCCGCCCGCCGCCGCCGTCTCTCAGCCCTAGCTACGGCATCAAACAAGTGGTTCGCGCAACAGTGTGCGCGACGTGCGACCACCAACCCGAACACCCAGTGTTATGTGTTGTTTAAGCGTTATAACTATATTGTGATTATTATTATTCTGCCACCATGTTTTACACCACTCGGGGTCGCGAACAGGAGGTCAAATTATTATTATTATTATTATTATATATTTTTACATTATTGTCTTTTATTTACGATTGTGAAAGTGTTTGGTGTACTAGTAGAGTACTAGCGATAAGTCTATTAAGTATAATTTTATTAAAATGTGAATAGGAACATACTATTTACAAAGAAAAAATTTATTTCTTCTCATCTGTGTGTGGCAATCGTATTATTATATACCTAGGCTTATCAAATAGAGATTATACAATTTTTTTATATAATTTTTTTATAGTCAGTTTGTTCTTACAGTGGTTTATAGATACTTATGTGCATTTTGACACCAGTTTTGAAGACAACACCAGCCTATAGAAGAAGAAATTAGTTTTAAGAAATCCGGTAATACAATTGTATACACTAAAAAATTACACGTTGGCTATGTCATCGTTTTTAATTTAAATAATTACAGAAGGTTTTTGGTATCTCTCAYTGTGTCTTAAGACAAAAATTTAATGCAATCTTATACTTTCATGGTATTTTCTGGTTAGAAAATTTAATTTGGTTGGCATTTTTTTCTAGATAATTGATAATAACTAGGGCTCGGAAGTTATAGGAGTTAAAAAAGGCAAAATATGCATGCAAATATGCACAAAAAAATTGTAAAATATGCATGAAAATATGTTAAATATGCAAAATAAAATTTATTAAATATGCAAACAAATTTACTACGTATATACAAAAAAATTTATTTTTTATGTTTGGCTTAATGTTTTGGCTTGTATTTTGTGATGGATTGTAATTTT